GGGGGGGGCAGGCAGCCACCTGCCCACCCCAGTGTCAGAGTGAAAGACCATAGTACCAGGAGCAACGGGCAAATTTAAACTGTGGAGACAGACATTTATTGTTGCCAGGAAGATCATATGCTGGAAATGGAATGAAGGAGCCTCTGAAACCAGCTCCTTAGCAAGTATCCTTTCCTAATTTGAGATAGATTAGTATTTAGATTTAGTATTCTGTTCTCTTTTTTTCTGAGTGGGTGGGGATTGTCTTCTTTTTATGTTACTTTAAAACTAAGGCCCCTCACTTAATCTTGGTCTGTTAGCTTCTCCACTTGGAACACAGTGAGCTTCTCTCTCTCAGAGAGGGGAAATCTGTGCAGAGGAGATAACAGATTCCATTCAGTCCAGTTCAACAAACAGGGCACGAAGCATTGGGGCCCAGGCCAGGCTCAGTAGGTCTGGCAGCTGATGAATCCCCAGCAGTGTGGGAAGCGCTGTTACAGTTCCAGGAACGTGGCACTGCACCCCTCCAGGGAGGGACAGCCACGAAGGGCTTCCCAGAGGAAGTGACACTGACCTGGCCCTGGAAGGATGAACACAAGTTCCTCACATGGAGGAGACGGGGAAGGGAGGTCCACGCTGAGGGGGCTGTGTGTGCAAAGGCACAAGAGGCGACCTGCTTGCCGGCTGAAAGGGTCTGGGAGAAGTTCCTTGTGTCTGACTCTGGGGTGAGCCGAGAAACTGGTTCCAAAACTCATTCTGGTGTCACTGTGGGGGTGACTGGGGAGTGACAGGCTTTAGGCAGGGCCACCAGGCAAGATGCTGTAGTAGAGGTCCAGGCAGGATCCTCTGGAGCATCTTGTTAAATTGCAGGTTCTGTCCAGTAGGTCTGGGGTGACATTGCGTTTCTAATTAGCTCATGGGTGATGTCGATGCTACTGGTCCAGGACCACACTTTGAGTAGCGAGGCTCAGACCTCTGGGCATTCTTCCCTCTGTTGCCTGAAGTCAGCTGGTTTCTCAGTGACTGACGCAGGATCTTCCTGCTCATCTCCCTTATTCCTCCTGGCATGACACCTCCTCATCCACCACCTGAAGCTGGTCTCCAGAAGGAAGACGACAGGATGAGGCTGTGCCTCTCATCTTTGGTCCTTGCAGGCCTGCTCTGAGCTGAGACTTCTGCAGGACCGAATGCCCAGCCTGAGCTCGGGGTCTGGGTTCCCTGGGGACCTGGCTCTGCACTGTATCAAATACGTCTGCTTCCCAGAGCGCTGGAAGCTGGGGGCCAGGGCTGAGTATTGGCTTGATGCCTAGAAGTGATGCTCTGTGTTTTCCAGGGACGGAGGCCTTGCAGATGGCCCCGCTACCGGGGGCAGAGCTGGTCCAGAGGCCGCTGCAGCTCTACCGATACCTGCTGCGCTGTTGCCGGCAGCTGCCAACCAAGGGCATCCAGGAGCATTATAAGCATACTGTCAGGCAGGTGGGAGTAGGGTCCACTGGGCTTGGGGTGGGGGGCTTCCTGTAATAGGGCGCCTATCACAGGGTTGGGGGCCAGGGGCAGTGGGCAGGGATGGTTTTTCCGGTGGTGGGGTTGGGGGTGGCAGTTCCGTAAGAGCCACTGGAAAGCAGTGCTGGCCAGCCCAGCTCCTCTGTCTGGTTTCTGTTCCGGAAACAGGATGCACCCAGCACAGCAGCTCTGTGCCAGGGCTTGAATAAGGCAGCTAAACAGATAATTAAAATAGAGTGTGAGACATAACATCATTTTGACAGGCATACCTGCCAATAATGCACAACCTGAATTTAATCATGAGAAAACATCAGGTAAACCCAAACTGAGCAACCGTCTACCACATAACCAGCCTGTGCTCATCAAACGTGTCAACGTCCTGAAACACAAAGGCAGACGACTGCTCTGGTTTGAAGGGGACTAAAGAGATGTGACAACTAAGTGTGATCCCAGATTGGATCCTGGACCAGAAAAAGCAATGATTGTAAAGGACATTATTGGGGAAATTCATGAAGCTGGAATATGGACTGTAGATTAGATAACAGTATTATATCAGTGTTCAATTTTCTGAAGTTGATTACTGTGGTTATGTAAGAGAATGCCCTTGCTTACATACCCAAAGTATTCAGGGGTTAAGGGCATGATACCTGAAACTTTAAATGCTTCCAAAAATTTTTATACAAACCCATATAGAGAATGATAAAGCAAATGTGGCAAAATAGTAACAGTTGGTGATTCTGGTAGGGAATTCTTTCGTGATATTCTTGCAGCTTTTCTGTAGATTAAAAATTATTTCCAAATAAAAAGTTAAAAGCTGAAATTTATATAAATATAGTATGGAAAGTAAAAAAATAGAGGTAGCAACAGAGGGTTGTGGAAACATGGAGAAGGAGTAGTTAGCTTTCTGAGGGAGTCTGGGAGGACTTCCTGGAGGTGAGCATTTGAGGTGCTCCTAAAGATAAGTAGGAGGACGTGTGGGGTTGAGAGTGACATATCAGAGGAAGTAACCAGTTCTTTTGAAGGGCCATGAGAGCCACACCAGTGAACCTGAATCTCATGTTGCTTTTCAAAGGCGAACATCTGGTCAAAGCAAACAGCAGCCCTGCATTGCTCTGCTTTGGGCCTGGCTGGATTTTCCAAAGCCACCCTCTCCACTGCCCCTCCCTTCCCTGCATGGCTTTCCAGCACGGGTCTGGAGAAACTCTGCTCTTCTCTGTGGCGAAGCCATGCAGAGAGCTCAGCCTGGTGAAAGCAGCTTCCTGGGAAGAGCAAACGAAGCAGAGAGATGGAAGTTTCCCTTAGGCCTCTGCTACCCGATAACCTTTGGGCCCAGCTTGACTTGGGGGTAGCTTGGGGCCAGTCTTCCTTTTCACGGCTGCCCTGCTGGTAGGAGTACAGGCTGTGTAGTCAGATAGTCCAAGATTCAAATGCTGGTGCCATTGGTTAACGGCAAGGTAGAGTTTCTGAGTCTGTTTCCTCATCTCAGGGTGTGATCATCATAACTGTCTGTGGAGGGGTAAGAGTGATGCTGAGTGTACAGTGCCCACAGTGTGCCTGGCCCACAACTGCTGCTCTGAAGCTGCCAGTCCTGTGATTTTTGCCTAGTCATCTTTACCTATGCTTAAACCTCCAGAGTTTCCGAGTTCATTCGGATAAAGACAGCCCTGAGAGGATCCAGCAGATTATTAAAAGAGCCATTGAAGATGCTGACTGGATCCTGAACAAGGTAAGTGCTCGGCTCCGACTTCCACCTGCGAGTTGGGGTTGAGGGCTGTAATCTCCGTGACCACCAGGGGTCGCCCCTGCCCCACAGTTCAGACCGATCAGCGCTGTGGAGGCCCCCCTCCCCTCACCAGCCGCTCCCCTCCTCCAGAAGCCCAAAGGTGATGGCAGATGCCCTTCTGGTTGCGTTTTCGGCAAGGGGGGCGTGACCCCCAGGGGTCGCCCCTGCCCCACAGTTCAGACCGATCAGCGCTGTGGAGGCCCCCCTCCCCTCACCAGCCGCTCCCCTCCTCCAGAAGCCCAAAGGTGATGGCAGATGCCCTTCTGGTTGCGTTTTCGGCAAGGGGGTGTGCATCCTTAATCCCTAAAGGCGAACTTCTGCCTCACAGTGCTGAATAAGCTGAGATGGGGCCACAGGAGGAAGGAAGGAAGAGAACAGTCTTGCTGGTAGCAATAGTGCCAAAGCTGGCAGCGGCCTTGTGATGGCTCAGAGAGGAAAGCTGGGTGAGGCAGGGTTACTGAGGAAACACTCGAGTATCTGTTTTGGTAGAGGCAGGAAGGGAGTCAGGAATACAGACAGGCTTGCTGGTCCTTACACTTCGTATTAGCACAGGCTTGAGAGCTGTAGCACACCCCACCACTCTGTCCTTCTGAATCAGACCTCCAGAGGTGGGGTCCAGGATTTGTTTTTTAAACTCAGGGATGGGACTAGTTGGTTTCTGAATGTTGTCTTCTATAACCGGAGGTTTTTTTTTCTTCTGAACGAGACTCAGCTTGATGGGAAGACTGGATACACCACAATTTTCAAGTCCAATGTTCCCAGTGTCTTTCTTATCCTCTCTCCCCAACCCCATCAGCTTCCTTTTCTGTTGGAACCAACTAGAGACTTGACTGTCTGATGCCTGCTGACCGGGTTCCACTGCCTCTAAGAAGCCCTTGCAGGAGACGGCTGAGGCCTAGTGACCACAGTTCTCAGGACTTCCCGGGTCCTCCCTCCCCGCGCTGGCTTCCCTCACCCGCTTGTAATGATCTCTCTGTCTTACAGTATAAGAAACAAAACTGAGACTCCAGGACATAGTGAGTGCAGCTGCCTTGGAGACACTGATATTGAGAGCCCTCACTTCGCCTGGCGCTAATCAGCAGCAGCAGTTTTGGAATATCCACTAGCCTCGTTGGCTGGGAGCAGGAAATCAGGGGTAGGAGAAGCTGATATTTGCTCAGATGGATCTTCTTGCCATGTTTGTGTCTCCAGTGTCTGCTTTATGTTTGCTTTTCCAGCTGGTTATGATGTGAGATTTGGGGAGAATGTGTTTTCTCACTTTGCACTGAAAGTGATTCATTTACTCTGGACATCATTCTTTGAGACCCAGAGCTGGCGTGCCCTCATATAGCTGCGGGTACAGAGGGCAGGGCATGGGTTTAACAACCAGACAAATCTGGATTTGAATCTCAGCGGCTCAGCGGCTTTTCAAGGGTGTTGGCTTCAAGTCCAGTTTCCTCCTTCATTAGGATTAGATAAGATGAAATCAAAGAGCCTGACGTAAGATATGGTATGCGGTGGGGCCAGTAAACATCCCTCTGAGGAAGCCGTCCTCTGCTGCTCCCGCGGTGCTCACACATCTCTCTGGCTCTCTCCACATCAGGTCTTAGTTCCTTGTGGGCTGGTCCCGTCCCTGCCTGTCACCCCAGGCCTCTGATCCCCCGCAGTTGCACTGTGCCCAGTGGTCCGCCCAGCAGCTGCTCTTCCTGACACCAACCCAGAGAGGCAGAAACCCTGGTCCTTGCCACCTTGGGGTTTATTGTGTCCCAGAGTGGCGAAACAAAGAACGCCAGAGCAGCTGCAGTAGATGCCGGCGCGTTCAGGCTGTGTGAACCTGTGATCTGTTTTGAGCGGCCCTTGCCTACTTTACTCCATCTTAGCAGGAAAGCGGGGAGGAGCAAGCCAGCAGTCATGAGGTTATCGTGAGCCTGAAATCGGTGGAGAATGCAGACCTGGGTCACATCCCAACTCCACACAAGTTACTCTTGGGTCACTTAACCTCCTCTCCTTCACCTTCTGTTTCCCCGCCTGTCCAGCGGAGTAATGACCATACCTACCACTCAGGGCCACGGTGAGGAGTCATGAGCCCTAATGTACACCAAGTGCTTCACCCAGAACCCGGCCTGGGGAGCCAGGGAGAAGGGAGCTCAGAGAGGTTGAGCCCCTTTTCAAGGTCACAGAACTGCTAAGCCAGGTCCATACTGCTTTCCCTTTCACTCTCTCCAGCTACTATCAGTCTGGTTTATAGTAACAGTTAAATATTTAAGTGAAGAAAGAAGAAAGGAAATAAGGAAGGAAGGAAGGAAGGAAGAAAGGAAGGAGGGAAGGAAGGGTGAGAGGGAGGGAGGGAGGAGGGAGGGAGAGCAGCAGGGAATGTCGGGGTAACTGGCCGGAGTGGGCAGAGCAGCCAGAAGATGCAGGGAGAAGCCACACCGGGATGCGAGTGTCCCCCAAGGACTCTCAACCCGAGGATGAGCTAGCGTACATTTGTGTCCTTGCAGTCATGTGACTTAAAGTGACTGAGATACGCCCACGTGCACTCTGGTTGATCAGCAGATAATGAAGTAAATACATCAATTTGTGAAAGCTCTGGTGTATGTTGTTCCCTACTGTGTGCTGTCATACTAGATGTTGAGGATTAGAGATAGGCAAACAGAAAGCTGCCTGGGAGGGATCATTCTTCAGAGTCCTAATTCATTAATTGAAATGTCCAATCCTAGGTAAAAATAAAATTTCAGAACTTGAATTAAGGTGGTGGTATCTCCCCTCTTCCAGTTGGGATCTGCTGCAGTGGGAAACCCGCTGCCAGAGCAGGGGCCATGGGTGGGCGGCCGTTGCTAACTTGGGGGTGGGGCGGGAGTGGAGGGGCATGCCAGGCAGAGGGGCAGTTTAAGCAAAGGCTCCAAATAGCACCACTTGCTCAGGAACTCCCACGCTGTTCAGTGTGGTTGAGACCCTGTGGACGGAAGAGACAGTTCTACAATCATCTCTTTATGTAATTGTCTCCCACCTGCGAGTGAACCCCTGGAGGGCAGGGACCATGTGCTGGTAAGTGCAAAATCTTCTGGGCAGGCTGTGTGCCTGCTGCCCGGGTGGTGAGCTGTAAGCATTTGTTGAATGGGAGAATGATAATACCAGGCAACCTGATGTCTCTCTTTTGTTAGAGTGTTTATTGCTTTTTAATAATGGGGGAGGCTAGGAGGTGGTGATTATTTCTTGGCCAAGCACTGGGGTGTGTGTGTGTGTGTGTGTGTGTGTGTGTGTGTGTGTGTGTGTGTGTGTGTGTGTGTTCTTATCACTGATGCTCAAATAAAGTCTTAATATTATTATGAAAGTAGTTTTGACTTTGAGAATCCCCTGAAAGGATTTCGGGGATTCCCAGGAGTCCATGGACCATACTTGAAAATCACTGTCTCTGTATGTACACTGAATAAAGCAGAATACAAAGTAGATTTTTACCTCCCTTCTTGATACCATGCCTTTGTTAATTAGGCCTAAGATTGTATTCATTTTTTAAAGAACCAGTGTCATCTGATTGGTTTGCATTCGGCAGTTAACATGAAAAAAATCTTAGAAGACACGATGCTAGGGGAAGCAAAGCACACCTTCATAGGAGAAGAATGCTTAACCTCAGTCTTCATAGAGAAAAGAATGTTTTCTCAGGTGAATAAGTGAGGCAAGTAGAGCATTCCACATGGGAGGAGAAGCATGGGCAAATATGTATGGCATGAATGGGTTGGGGTGCTGGGAGAGCGAGGAATTTATTTGCAAGGTACAAGCGTGCCAGAGAACATCATGGACACGGCAAGAGGGAGGTCAGCAGTGGGGGTAGGAAAACCCACATCAGTTTGGGAATAGGAGTAGGTGAGACCAGTGATTAGAGAGGCCTGCTTTGGGCCAGTGGCTGAAATTAACAGGCATAGGGGCTCTTGGGCTCAGCCAACCTCAAGGTTATGAGCCCTAGTCAGTTTCAGAGTTCTAATGAAGCTCCTCTTGTGCATTCATTACTCAAAGCTGAAAGGGAAGGGTGCCTCCCCAGATGTCAATGGAGAGGGATTCATTCTCTTCAGAGATGCTGTGTCTCCATGGTATTGACAGCAGCTGATTAACAGGAGGTAGAGATAGAGATATTCTGATGGTTTGGAGAAACCTGATCCTGAATGAAGCTATCCAAGTGCCCACTCAAGGGCATGCCACTCCTTTGGGACCCACTGCTACCCATATAGACCCCTGTACTTCTCAGACGGGATGGTATTTATGGAATTAAAGGTCTCTCTGTTCCACAAGATAGTGAGTTCCAGTGGCAAGGATCATGACGTCAACTCATTCAGCAAATGTATGTGAAGCTCCTACTTGTGCAAGGCACCATGCCAGGTGTTGGTAGGGTACCTAAATTTAAGGCCTTAACCTGGATCCCAATTACATTTTCCTATTGATTTTGGCTCATAAGGCCAGCGTGTCAGAATTAGTAGAATGTGGATCTAGCATGTTAATCACACTTCATTTCTTCATTTCCTCTGCTGTTTTGCCATTTATTCATTAATTCATTAATTCAGTGAACATTGAGCACCTCTTATGTATCAAAAATTCCATCTATAGTTTCATTAAGGTTGTGTTATGGGTGGTTTAATTGCTCTGCTTATCGATCTGTATGGTTTCTGGAGATGTACGGAGAGATTTCATTTTGGGCACCCATGATTATCCATAGGAATCTAGTTTTTTAATCAAACTAAAAAAAATATTTTTTTTTCCTGAAAGTTTTCTATTATAGACATTAGCCCACATTTACACACACACACATAACATTTGCTGCTGACAAGTCTGGCTGAGAAATGGTGAATGACTTTGAAAACATGTTTTTTCTGACATTTTTACCTTACTATTACCGTAAATCTTTAAAATTCTTGAATTGGAGTGATAAGGAGAATTGCCCAAGGCTCCAACCTGTCAGTCTAGCCTCAACCTCTAGCCTCTAGGCATGTAGGTAAATGAACATTCTCATTCTTTTTTTCATCTTAGCTGCAGTGTTGATTTCATGTTCTCTCTGGTCTAGGCCCCTATGCATAATTGGCTGTGTCAGAAACTGCTGCTTGAGGAGCTTGGAACCCTCATACACTGCTAGTGGGAGTGTAAAGTGGGGCAGCTGCTTTGGAAAACATTTTGGAAGTTTCCCAAAATGTTAAACATGAAGTTACCATATGACTCAGCAATTCTGCTCCTATGTATATACCCAAGGGAAATGACATACATCCACACAAAACACTTGTACACAAATGTTCATGGCTTTATTCATAATAGCAAAAAAAAAAAAAAACCCAAATAACCCAAATATCCATCAACCGATGAATCGATAAATAGATGTAGTATAGTTATACAATAGTACGTAACTCAGTAATAAAAAGGAATGAAGTACTGATACACCCTGCAGCATGGATGAACCTCAAAGACACTATGTTAAGTGAAAGAAGCCAGTCGCAAAATACAAAGATATATTGTATGATTCCATTTATGTGAAATATCCATAATAGGCAAATCTATGGAGACATAATGTAGATTAGCCTAGGGGCTGGGAGGGGTAGGTGTTGGGAAGAGTGGGGCTTCCTTATGGAGTGAAGAAAATATTTTAAAATTAGATTATGGTGAAGGTTGTACATCTCTGTGAATATGTTAAAAACCACTGAACTGTATACTTTAAATGGGTGAATTGTGTGGTATGTGAGTTACATCAGTAAAACTCCTAAAAATAAAATAAAATGCCAGGAGAAAACTGAATAAATCCCAAAGCATCTGGAAGGTAATACCCATACTATCATTAATTTCTAGAAAATTCTCTCCTTCTTGATTAGTTTCTTTTGAAGGGAACAATTGTCTTCTCTCTCCAGTGGTGTTCAAGGCTGAATTTTTCTACTGGGAATGAGGGCCAATCCTCATGCCTTCTTTACCCACTGTGCTCACTTTGTAATCCTTTGGGGCAGTTCTCACTTTTCTTCAGAGAGAAACAAGCCGAGAGAGGCTAAGACATT